GCCCGCTTAGTCTCGCCCGCCGGTCTGGTCCTCCCTTCTCTCCGCGCTGCAGCCAGCGTGGCCGCAGCTGTCTTACTCTCTTTGGCCCCTGCCCCGCCTCCACCGCTCCGGGCGCCACCCGGGAGCTTTGCTTTCTTTCTCCCTTTCCTAGCTTCGGACTCTTGCTGATTCTGGAAGGGATGCCGCAGACAGCGGACGGCCCAGGCCAAACGTTTTTTGATGGGCAGTTGAGGACTTTCCCAAGGACGGTGCTTCAGGGCGAGGCTGCCAGCTTCCAAAGGACGACGCGCGGGCGCCCGCGAGCTGGGTGGGGCGGGAAGTGCTGCCTTCGGGGTCGGGAAGAGGGTCCACGCCTCCACTCTGTCCTGTGTCCCCGACGCGTCCCGCCCAGAACCAGCCCCCAGATTCCCCTTTGCTAATACTTAACACAATCACGGCCGCTTTTTTAGCAAGTTGCATAAAGTTGAAAATTCCTTTTTTTAAATTCTGAATACACCTCTGAAAAGGAGTGTACTCAAAAGTATTATCGTTTGTCAGAGGAGGCGCTCTGGGTATGCAATCAATCAGGCAGTAATTCAATGAGTAGTTAAGGAAGATGTGTTCTGCGTGCCAAGCCAATATATGAGAGACTTGTGGTTCAGTTTCTGCTCTGACTTATCCTCCATTTCAAATTAAACTTAAAATTTCTTTAAAATGTCATTGCAGATCCTTCTGCATTTCTCTAGGGAGAACTAATTCTTTACACTCTTTCCCCAGGTTTTTGGCCTCTAATTTCCCTCACTCCCTTTTTTCCTCCACTTAAGTAGTTCGCATTTCTGAATTCTGTGATTAGAGGGAACTAATAAACCCTGAAAACGTTTCTGAGCATACCATCTGCCAGCATGATTATGGCTTAACTATTTGTATTTCTGGTGCATTTTCCCCTCTGTCACACTCCTTTGGGTCCATGGGTAGAATCACCGTACATTGAAGGAGTTAACCTGTGATATGGAATCTATAAATTACAGTTTATTTTGTATGCACCCTGTTAATAACTTTCAGAAAAGAGAGTATAACGTCTTCTGTCACAGGCTGTACATTTAGAATTAATTTTTAAAATTGATTATAGGCTCAGTGCCCATAGCTCAGTGGTTACAGCGCCAACTACACACACTGAGGATGGCGGGTTCTAACCTAGCCGGGGTCAGCTATACAACTGCAACAAAAAAATAGCTGGGCATTGTGGTGGGCATCTGTAGTCCCAGGTACTTGGGAGGCTGAGGCAAGAGAATTGCAAGCTGTGATGCCATGGCACTCTACTGAGGACAACATAATGAGACCCTGTCTCAAATAAATAAATAAATAAATAAATGAAAGATTACTGATTAGTATCTTAGTTACAGTGCTTTATACTTTGTTGTATCATACTTTTTTTAAAGATAAACCTATTGACAGGAATATGATTAAGAGAAATACTAAGATTTCATATTCTGGTAGAGATGATTCTACAAATTTACATTCTTCTGAATCTCCAGGTTCTCTACCAAAGAACTTGATGATTTTTTTTTTATCAGTTTTTGGCAGGGGCTAGGTTTGAACTCGCCACCTCTGGCATATGGGGCCAGTGCCTTACTCCTTTGAGCCACAGGTGCCACACGATTTTTTTTTTTTTTTGAAATAGAGTCTCACTATAAAAGACGTACCATGGTGTTATAACTCACAGCAACCTAAAACTCTTGGGCTTAAGTGATTCTCTTGCCTCAGGCTCCTAAGTAGCTGGGACTACAGGTGCCCACCACAACACCCAGCTATTTTTAGAGATGAGATCTCTCTCTGGCTGCTGCTGGTCTTGAATCTGTGAGTTCAGGCAGTCCACCCACCTCGGCCTCCCAGAGTGCTACGTTTATAGCCATGAGCCACTGCTCCCAACTAGAACTGGATGATTATATAGTCATCTGTCAGTATAGATAGTAGAGTAGGAAGTTGCTGTTTAACAATTCGTATGGTAGCCTTTCCTTCCACAATTGCTGGGAGGTAACCTTACTATGACATTTCAGGGATTATTTTGCTAAATAAATTCAAAATATTTCATTGTTTAGAACACATGCTTTTAAACTTGGAGTAAACTACTTAGTGTTTGGCTGACTTGGTTTTGTAATTCTTTTCCTCCATAGTTTTCCTAGTTCCTGGTCAACCAAAGAATATGGGGTGTCTTGGCTGAATCTCCATACAGACAAGATCATTATGACCCTGGTAGGTAGGGCAAATATCCACATGGGAGATCACATCTCTATAAGTTTACAAGTTGTAAATGCACTTCATATGCCTCTGAGTGATGGGGTTTTTTATCTTGCTTTGATTCTCTTGTCTTTTCTCAAATGACACTAATTTTTCTCTTTCTCATTAATTGTACTTGCATCAACTATGAAGTCATTCAATAAGCCATATATAGAATTGAGGACTGTTATGTATCATAATGGGTAGTATTTTTAATTTTTTCTTCTAGTAGCTCCAAAACTAAGTTTACTTTGTAAAGTTACCTGTGACTTTATTCTGATTTACCTTGAAGAACCAGTTTCTCCATATAAATCATCCTTGAAATCAAGTGATAACAAATTCTACTCTGTAAGTGGAACAGACTAGGTGAACAACTTTATTTTATTTTATGTTATTTTTGAGACAGAGCCTCAAGCTGTCCCCCTGGGTAGAGTACTGTGGCATCACAGCTCACAGCAACCTCCAACTCCTGGGCTCAAGTGAGTCTCCTGCCTCAGCCTCCCAAGTAGCTGGG